CCGTCCTCAACCATCTTGTTTCATCAATGAGGCGCCATTGTCAAGCTTCTGTCACTTATGGTGATGGTCATACCATACACTGACTTGTGACCTGACATACGACCCCATGCCGACATGAGTTGACACTGCCATGAGGAATTTGTTACATGGACATCAATATATTTTTCTGTTGCCAAACCATTCTTTCTTTGCGTTTATTTAATACTCCCCATAACAGTCAGTAATACATTGGAACTTTTCCACCTAGTATATATAACACGAAACGTTTAAAGACTCCCCTTCTGTATTACATTCAATGAACAAGTCGCATTCCTTCTTCGCCAGATATAAATATCGCCTGCATGTTTAGGTACCTCGGTGATACAGAGGGTGCGGCAAGCCTGTGCGTTGCCATAGTCGAATCATTAGCACGCCGAATAAATGAAGGGGAAAATTGAAAACATAAAGCCATTCCTTGCAGATGCAGTACTCTAAGTGCGTAGACAACAGCGTAATATGATGAGGGTATAAAACCTTCTGATGCGTTTAATGCTATTTCATTCAACTAGCAATTAATCGCCAAAATATACCGACAGACTCATATATGTTTCCCGTACCATTTGGCCGTGGGACGTACACGCCTGTGTGTCACCTGTGTCTCTGTCTGATCGGCGTCCATCCGCTTCACCTAATAAGAGAGGTACAAGTGATCAGGTGGTCTGTGTCTGCTATGCTCGACTGGGTTACTCAAATTAGATGATGTGGTTATGAAAGAGCCCACTCCTGAATTGTTGAGGGGTTACCCGAGGATCCAAAAACAACACAAACATACATGCTAGCAATACTTGATATCTTTACAGCATTATTTACAATGTTTTGTATGTTTGTAGGATCATATGCATAACCTCCATACACTCATATTTCGGTGTATTTACATGCCGATGCATTTGTTCAGGATAAATGTCTATTCCCAATCACCAAGCAGCTGAGACACATGGTCAAGTTTGAATCTTATTAATAAGATTGCATCATTTACGCTGAAATATATATCACAACGCCACAAATTTTGTATTTTGGTTAAACTATATTAAAAATCATTTGTTTTAGGTTACAGCCTACCTAATGTTTTTGCGAACCCTCGCGGGTATGATATAAATTGAATTGTTACAACATTTAAGATTCGAATACAGGAATACAGCTTATCAATGTCAGTCGTTATTCCCGTGGCGAGAACACAGGAATATAGCTGTATATCACCGTGGCGAGAACACGAGAATGCAGCTGTATGTCACTGTGGCGTGAACAGAGGAATACAGCTGTATATTACCGTGGCGAGAACACAGGAATACAGCTTTATATCACTGTGGCGTGAACAGAGGCATACAGCTGTATATTACCGTGGCGAGAACAGAGGAATACAGCTGTATATTACCGTGGCGAGAACACAGGAATACAGCTGTATATTACTGTGGCGAGAACAGAGGAATACAGCTGTATATTACCGTGGCGAGAACACAGGAATACAGATTTATATCACTGTGGCGTGAACAGAGGCATACAGCTGTATATTACCGTGGCGAGAACACAGGAATACAGATGTTTATTACCCACGTGGTGAAGATACAGTTGGTAAGATACTAAATCCGTCGCACGTGTGTCGTACAAGGTTGACCGTGTTTTATTCATTTTGATTGGATAACCGTGACTTCTGCCACACCGGGACTACTTTTTTCATTCATGAAAAAATCGCGAGACGTCATTCATTTTGCAACTACAAGACAGAACTGAAGCAATCTCATGAGAGCAAGAGATATTTACAAACACTTTATTAAACCAAACAAAATAGTCACACGCTTGAAATTCGTTTTGCATTCTATATAAGTTATGCATAGAGCTTCTACAGACATACTATATTCGAGCTATATCCATTTACAATGTACGACTACCGATTAATAGATCGAGGGTCCCCATGAGCGTGACGCACCCGACTTTCGCAACTTTCAATTTGATTTAACGTAAAAGGATAAGCGTAGTGAAGTGAAATCAGTTTAAACTATCTGGACAGATATCTAGACTTACTTGGGATGATCCGGTTGTGCCATCAGTGTCCCCTCCGAAACGTATTTTGTGGCACTGTTACGACCAGATCACTCAAAGTGAAAATGTCCAATACAAATCATTCGAAAACTCCGTAGAAGTGTGTCTGACTTCTGATCATGTGGCCCAAAATATCCCAAATGTGAACAATCACATTCCCTATCTCTAGCGTAAGACGCTGCGAGTAAATCACTGTTGTCTTTTCTTATTCCCGTGGTGACCTTGCCCTTCGATCGTTTGAAGCTGTCACTGACATGCACGCAGACCTGAGTTGGTTGATTTTCACGTCTTCAGTATAGGGTGTTACAGTTAACACGAATGTCTTTGGCGAACACTCTGATTTCCCTCTCCCAAAATGGTACGGACATGATATTAATTCAGCTGATAGATCAAGAAATCCGAACCATTTTGATTGCACAGCCGGGACACCGGCAGTGCAAGTGACCGACTGTTGGTTCGATTTTCAAAGCGCGGCGCTAATGTGACTTTTCAAATTTTCTTATAGGTGTCCTGCGTACTAACAACATTGCGCTTGAAGTATTCTCTACATATTACCGTGGCGAGAACACTGGAATACAGCTTAATAATGTCAATCGTTATTATCGTGTCTGGAGCACAGGAATACAGCTGTATATTACCGTGGCGAGAACACAGGAGTACAACTGTATATTACTGTGACGAGAACACAGGAAAACAGCTTTATATCACCGTGGTGAGAACACAGGAATATAGCTGTATATTACCGTGACGAGAACACAAAAATACAGCTTACCAATGTCAGTCCATATCCCTGTGTCGAGAACACAGGAATACAGCTGTATATTACTGTGGCGAGAACACAGGAATGCAGCTGTATATTACTGTGGCGAGAACACAGGAATACAGCTGTATATTAATGTGGCGAGGACACAAGAATGCAGCTGTATGTCACTGAGGCGAGAACACAGGAATACAGCTGTTCTGCCTCAGTCCGTATTACCATGATTCGCACCACGGAGTGCAATTTATCAGCGTCAACCCATATTACCGCGGGTTTCTGGAAACAACTCGGAACGGCATACTAGCAAAGGTGGCTACTCTAGTCAAATCCAATGAAAAATCAGATTCATCAACAACACTTGTCACAACAGTTGCTAACATGTGAACATCCCACAGTAAGTCAGAGAGACCTACATAGCTCAGATAAATTGCTAGCGTCATATCATAGTTTGAGGTAAAGGTTTCCAAATATGTCCACACGGAAATGTGAATAATTGACGAGCTTTGAGAAATATCATCTTGGAGATTGCATCAACTACAGCCAGTGTATATCAGTGGCAGTCAGCAGATAACAGTAAAATAAACAGGGGATAATGGAGATAAGTGCTCCATGGAAAAGCTGTGACAGCCCCCAACACTAGTATAGTATTGTGACGTATACACCTCTATTTCACTTTGGCAAGAAATAGACGTCTCGCACATATATATGCAGCTTTTATGTCAGCAGGTGCTTCCCTGTTGACTGATGTACTGCCGGCTCTACCAAACACTCAGACACGCGTGTAGACACATGAATTGACAGCCCTAATGTTTCTGTCGCAAGACACACTTGCTATCAGTTTATCTGGAAACGTCCCTTGTCGCGGCAGCAGTCACTGATCAAAAGATCTGCATACTCATAGTTCTAGAACTGCCACCGTGCCGGGACAACTACCCCGAATAATAATTGTTTGAATTATGCATCTCTCTAAACGATAGATTAAAAAGTGCATGGATTACACGATGTTAACTATCCAACCCCAATACAAAGTGACAAGCAAGGTTACTTGGCTTTACATGAACTTGGATGGATCCAGTGACAAATGTGAATCTGAGCTACATATCCCCACGAATAGGACTAAACACTTGTCGTGACAGCAGTAACGTAATGCCTTTGTGATAAGATATATAGTCTTTGGGATATTGTGTGTAGGTTTGCAGTCCTACATCTTGTGGAAGCAGGCAATATTGCATTCTGTCGGAAGTAGTTCAGTTCCATTATTATGAATGAAATGGATGGTGTGTTCTCAAGTGAGAGGTGTTAGGTGATGCGACACACCTGGAGCACACTATTGGGTCATCATGATGGTATTGCCTTATTACAAACCAGCATTATCTATATCTAGCACGCCATATTATAAAAGAGTCAACATGCTGGTATGTCTCATCACAAGCCATTATTATCTAGCACGTGGTATTATAACATAGTCAACATTGTCTTATTACAAGCCATTATGATCCAGCACGTGGTATTATAACAGAGTAATGATGCTGCTATGTCTCACCACAAGCCATTATTAACTAGCACGTGGTATTATAAGGGGTCATTTTGCCGGCATCGTCTCATTTCAAGCCAGAACTTTCTAGCACGTGATTACAAGCCAGTACTATATGGATCGGTGTTGGGACGGGTTGTACTGTGTTGATATGTGACAGCTATATAATGCTCCATGCTGGTATTTTTTCATACGGTGAGATCGCACTGTGTAAACATCGATATAAATAATATCATGATTATACAGCACTATAATGAACTTATATACCTAATAAGGGTGCATACTACATATCATTTTATGATTCATTGAATGCGTTAATGAATCACTAGGTTCGACCTAGATACATATATAGAGTAGGATTAAGCGGGGCAATGATGGTTATGTAACTGTATGAGTGCGTAGAACGGCTATATAGGTTAATGGTCCGTTGTTACAAATAACAGTGTGATCATGGGAACAAAGATGATCCGAGTGTTTGGCTGGTTATATGGCCATTCTATTGGCAAGCGTTAAACGGGGAGATGTGTGGGTCTGTTAAAGCGCTTTTAACGATAAATTACGCATCGTAAAAGAAGTTATTATGGCTTGTCTGGAGTTTTTCAGACGTTAGATTGACTTGCGAGTACTTACCCCATGCTTGGTAGAGATAGAAGGAGTCCTAGGAAGACGAGGGCGGTCATAGTTAACCATAGATAGCCGCGGCTACAGTGTGGGGGCACGCGGGGGTGCTTGCCTCCATCCCCAGGGTGGCCAGGAAGGGGACACAACTCTCACAGGCAGCTCCTCCCCCCGACACCCGACATCTCTACCCTATGATAAACACTCAGTCCGCTCACGCTATGATGGAGTTTTTTCCACTAAAGAATTCTAACTTTTGTGCAAAAAGATTAAATCCGTATCTTTACTTTGTGTGAAGACTTGATTTCGCTGCCACTGAACTGAATCTGATACAAGTTGGTATGCTGCTATACAGCAGTAGACGAGGGAATCCCCACTGATGAAGCGAGTATCTGCAATAATCCGCCTCTCTCCACACCTTGCCCGCGCCGCGTCTCTCGCCCAGCTGAAAGTAGAAGAAGTACTATATTTAGTGGGTGGAGAGTAAGAGAGAGGGAGAGAGGAGGGAGAGGACGGCGAAATCAGGACACGAGTGGGTTGTTCTGCCCGCTATCAGTGAATATGATCCCCCTGTGCCGCATAATTACCCCATTCTAATTGTCCTCGCGACTACCCCAAGGTAAAAACGCACGTGTTGCGACTTGGGAAGACATAAAGGTGGAAATTTTATCATCTTGATATTTTACATCAGAGAGAAATGTATATCCTGACTTGGCTACATAAATATATAAACAGTCAAGGGCTATGTGTTGACGAACAAACTCTGATCAAGGCAACATCAAGGCTTTCCTATATTATGACAGCTTTGTAAACAAGCGTTACACAGTTGATTGTGGTGTATGCTGCACTTCCTGTTAAAATATTAACTTAAACGATATGGGAGTACACCGCTGTTTGGGGATGCGCTGACTGCACTTGGCGACCTCCCCACAACTGCCCTTTTCAACATCACCAAATCCAGTGTTCTCCTTCCCACTCGTCAACCACCAGTTGTATTGGCTTCCTTACAGAAGTCTCCATCGCTGTGCACGGCGACAAAGGTTTGCTTTAAATGAAAGTCACGAATAGAAAAGGCGTGAGCACTGTCTCCACTATAGCTAGGATACAACAAACAATGTATCCACTGTACTTGGGATACAACAAGCACTGTGTCCACTATAGCTGGGATACAACACGCACTGTCTCCACTGTAGTTGGGATAAAACACGTACTGTCTCCACTGTAGTTGGGATAAAACACGTACTGTCTCCACTGTACTTGGGATACAACCAGCAATAGCTGGGATACAACACGCACCGTCTCAATTATAGCTAGGATACAACAAGCAATGTCTCCACTGTAGCTAGGATACAACAAGCAATGTCTCCACTGTAGCTAGGATACAACAAGCAATGTCTCCACTGTAGCTAGGATACAACAAGCAATGTATCCACTGTAGCTAGGATACAACAAGCAATGTCTCCACTGTAGCTAGGATACAACAAGCAATGTCTCCACTGTAGCTAGGATACAACAAGCAATGTCTCCACTGTAGCTAGGATACAACAAGCAATGTCTCCACTGTAGCTAGGATACAACAAGCAATGTATCCACTGTAGCTAGGATACAACAAGCAATGTCTCCACTGTAGCTAGGATACAACAAGCAATGTCTCCACTGTAGCTAGGATACAACAAGCAATGTCTCAAGTGTAGCTAGGATACAACAAGCAATGTCTCCACTGTAGCTAGGATACAACAAGCAATGTCTCCACTGTAGCTAGGATACAACAAGCAATGTCTCCACTGTAGCTAGGATACAACAAGCAATGTCTCCACTATAGTTGGGATACAACACGCACGGTCTCCATTATAGCTAGGATACAACAAGCAATGTCTCCACTATAGTTGGGATACAACACGCACGGTCTCCATTATAGCTAGGATACAACAAGCAATGTTTCCACTATAGTTGGGAGACAGCAAGCAATGTCTCCACTGTAGTAAGGTTACAACAAGCAATGTCTCCACTATAGTTGGAAGACAATCAGCACTGTCTATGTAATAGAAGAAATTTCGTAATAATGAGCGATGTAAGTAAATAATGTCTCCACTATAGCTAGGATACAACAAGCAATGTCTCCACTACAGCTAGGATACAACAAGCAATGTCTCCACTACAGCTAGGATACAACAAGCAATGTCTCCACTATAGCTAGGATACAACCAGCACTGTCTATGTAATAGAAGAAATTTCGTAATAATGAGCGATGTAAGTAAATAAGAGACCGAACAGACATGGTTAAAAAAATATTCTGACGCGTAGTATGTTTAAATAAAGAAGTATCTGCTTTTGTAGCTATAGCTGAATAAATATCTAATTCTCATACAAAAGCCTAATGATATATGGTCGGTCGCTTATACATGAAGGATTTAAGAAATGTAATCATTTTGTTACAGTGAGCAATGTAAGTATAAATATTGCAAAGTTGAAATCGTGTAAAAGTTAGTCACAGTGAGAAATTTTAGTGATGTATTTGGCGTTTAAGAGATGTAACAATGTCATCAAAGTAAGTGAACAATGCAGAGAGAATGTAAGCTATGAAATAATTTCCTCTTGGTGAAGAGTGTAAGTAAATAATACAGAAAGAGGTCGAGAAACGTACTTAGTTGAGAAATGTAAGTAAATAATGCAGAAAGTGTTATCAGGAGATGACATATCCCCCCGGTCTAGTGCAATCCGGAAATGGATATTTACTACTTATACCAAACTTTTGGTTAATTGCTATTGGGTACCTTCAGTTCAGTGGAGAAACAAATAATGCTGTTCCCAAATCATCACAAGGCACCAGTTCACCACTAGAATGATCTGTATAGCACGTTTTAGCAAGTAATATCCAACTGTTCTGTTCCGGAAACGAGCACTTCCCTTGTTTTCAGTCAGGTCCAACATAAACAGTCATGAAAACATTGAGAAAAAAAAAAAAAAAAAAAATCTCAAATCATCAAAGGGCACAAGATTCCCACTCGACTGATCTATATAGAAAGTTGCAACGGACAGCTGACGGACGGACGGATATGCTGATCGCTATATCCGTTTTTTTCAAACCGGGAGGGATAAAAATGTACAAATACATGAAATAGTCTGAAAAAGGCGATGTAATAATTTCATCACAGTGAGCAACATAAGGAAATAATGCACAGGGAGTTTAAAAAATGTAATACGTTCGTCACGGCGAGAAATGTAAGTAAACAATGCAAATAGTTCAAGATATGTAATAACTTATTCACAGTTAACAATGTAGGTAAATGTTGCATAAATAATTTCGTTGTAGTCAGCAATGTGAACAAATAATGCAGAGAGTATAAAGAAACGAAATAATTTTGTCATAGTGAGCAATGTGAGTAAATATTGAAGAGAATATAATTAAAAATGATAATTTAGTTACAGTGAAAAATGTAGGTAAATAATGCAGAAAGTTGAATAAATGTAATAATTCCGTAAAAATGAGCAATGCAAAAACATTATTCAGAGAGTGTGATGAAACGCAATAATTTTAGCAATTTGAACAATGTAAGCAAATAACACAGAGATTATAGAGTGATATAATAATTTTATAATGATGGACAATGTAAGCAAATAACACAGAAATAATAGAGTGATGCAATAATTTTATCATGGTGAACAGTGTAAGTAAATAACACAGAGATAATAGAGCGATGTAATAATTTTATCATGGTGAGCAATGTAAGTAAATAGAGGTTATTTCATGTGTCGAGTGAAATTTCATGTTTGTCTCATCGAGTGACGAGATCCTATATATTATATACTTTTTGTGTAGGAAAATTATTATTTTTCATGTGTGAAACCCTGACAGAAGTTCCAAGTTTCCAAATCATAAAAAAATAATAAAAAATAATTGAGGTCACTACAATTCTTTATCATACACTACATTTCATAAGTAACTTCCCCTAGTTTCGCGAAATTTTCTCGCCACTATTGCGGCACTAACGCGAAATTATCGCGCCACTTTCGAGACACTTTCGCGCAATTTTCGCGATAACATTTAACAAGATTGCGGCACTTTCGCGACACTTTCGCGACACTTTCACGGCACTTTCGACACACTTTCACATCGCGCCATTTCCGAGTCACTTTCGCGATACTTTCACGGCACTATCACGAACGTATAGCGAAATAGTTTTGTGATACAGGGCAAGTGACTTTTGAAATGGAGTGTACATTTGGATATGATTATATACAAAATCAACTTCAACAAAACATATTCTTGAAAGCTACGAGACCGCTGTTGGAAGCGAAGGAATACACGCTGGCCAAGTAACAGAAAATGGTGCTTTGCAGAACGAACAGTTTCGATTGACGAGTTGAAAGAGAACTTTACAGTTTATCACGAAACATATTTAAGAGAATAACAAACGCGAAGAAGCGATATTTAATCCATAAATGACCATGTGTCATTATTTTGCCTTTTCAATGTTGAACTAACGTAAAAAGGAAGTCAACAGTGTGTGTACGGGCTGAACACTTACGATAAAGGGATACAATTTGTAGGGAGGTGGCTCTTGTAAAACATAGGTCCGTCAAAGTGAAAGACAAAGTGTTATGTTCACTGCAGTGAAAAATCAAGTGTTATGTTCACTGAAGTGAAAGATCAAGTGTTATGTTCACTGCAGTGAAAGATCAAGTGTTATGTTCACTGCAGTGAAAGATCAAGTGTTATGTTCACTGCAGTGAAAGACCAAGTGAGCAATGTAATGTAAGTAAATAATGTAGAGAGAATAGGAATGAAATAAGTGCGGCACAGTGAGCAACGTAAGTGAACAATGAAAACAGTTAAAAAAAATGTAAGCCCGTCAGTGAATAGATGTTCTTTTTGAGATTTCAATATTTTGTTGGTGTATAGTATTATTAATGATATCAACGACTTTGCAGGCTTCGTTCCTGAACATCAGGGCAATTGTAATGTTCTTGTATTCGGATCAGTGTGTATTGAGGTACAGTACATCGTATGTTTATGTGGTAAATAGCTGAACACCACTACGGCAGTGTTTGGACCCCAAACGACAAATTAATTCCAATGATGTTATAATCCTAGTCAGCAAGTAGATCATTTAAAAGTTATGTAACGCTAGAGCCAGATTCCAGAGCGAATACAACTTTGGTTAAGTGATGTCACTAGTAAATGTGGAACATAGGTAAGCACCACATGATATAAACTATGGAGTAGTAACAATACCCTGTGAACAAAATCGCATCTTGAGCTGCATCGGTAAAACTGACGAACATAAGGATCGTTTCTGCGTGACTAGCACATGCAACAACATAGAATATTCAATGTAATATGCGTTGTTAATTTGCATTTGACTCGACGTTGACTCGAAAGGATTGTTGTCATGAAGTCGTTGGTAGACAGCTACGTATCAATAAAAAATATTACTGTACCAGAGTGACCTCCTCACTCGTCTCCACATTCCCTGAACCAAACGTCGTAACTGCTGTTGTGGTGCCTCACTTTGACAACCACACATTGCAACATCTCGGCCAGTTTTTAATGACGACAACGTTCTTCATAAAGCACTTCGTTGGTAATTGTTTGCAGCAAAAAGAGATGACGCTGTTTTTAGTCTGCACTTAGCCCCGATATGATCCCTCTCAAACTTGGGACGCAAAGACACCCTCTGGCGCAGAACCTCCAGGAAGAAAGTACAAAGTCTCACTAGGAATGGCAGCAACTGCCTCAACAGCAGTTACAACGTTTAGTTAGAGAATGTGGAAATGAGTGGAACAGGTCATTCGTGCACGAGGTGCTTACACCCAACAAACATTTATTATAATACATTTGCATTTTAGAACAACCTGAAAAGGATGAACCAGTACGTAACCTATTCGTACAAAGTCGACCAAATGACCAAAGAGAGTGTAAATTGGCCAAAGAGATCTCAATATCCATCCATACATCCGTACACAGGCCTATACCTAGACACACAATACTTTTGTGTTAACAGATATGTACTTGACCTATAACGATGAACCATGTGATATAATTATTCAGATAACAATGGCTCTATACAATACTTATAAAATAATCTCCTGGAAACTTACTAGTGAACTACTCCTTGTTGTGGACCAAACAAAACAGATGTTGGAATACACGTCAGCCAACGCATTAACATATTCCAACACAACCATTGGCATCCGTAGTTTACCAGGAAGGTACTGTTCATGTGATGGTATCCCAACTCTCTCAATATGCATGTGTCACGCTGAAGGAGATACTCTCCCTACATACACCTGTAGTGCTGAAGTGGATACCCTCCCTACATACACCTGTAGTGCTGAAGTAGTTACCCCCCCCCCCCTACATACACCTGTAGTGCTGAAGTAGATACTCTCCCTACATACACCTGTAGTGCTGAAGTAGATACTCCCCCTACATACACCTGTGGTGCTGAAGTGGATACCCTCCCTACATACACATGTAGTGCTGAAGAAGATACTCTCCCTACATACACATGTAGTGCTGAAGTAGATACTCTCCCTATATTCACATGTAGTGCTGAAGTAGATACTCTCCCTACATACACCTGTAGTGCTGAAGTAGATACTCTCCCTACATACACATGTAGTGCTGAATTGGAATACCCTCCCTACATACACCTGTAGTGCTGAAGTAGATACTCTCCCTACATACACCTGTAGTGCTGAAGTAGATACTCTCCCTACATACACCTGTAGTACTGAAGTGGATACCCTCCCTACATACACCTGTAGTGCTGAAGTGGATACCCTCCCTTCATACACCTGTAGTTCTGAAGTGGATACCCTCACAAAATACGCCTGTAGTGCTGAAGTGGATACCCTTCCTACATACACCTGTAGTGCTGAAGTAGTTACCCCCCCCCCCCCCCCCTACATACACTTGTAGTGCTGAAGTGGATACCCTCCCTACATACACCTGTAGTGCTGAAGTGGATACCCTCCCTACATACACATGTAGTGCTGAAGTAGATACTCTCCCTTCATACACCTGTAGTGCTGAAGTAGATACTCTCCCTATATACACCTGTAGTGCTGAAGTAGATACTCTCCCTACATACACCTGTAGTGCTGAAGTGGAATACCCTCCCTACATACACCTGTAGTGCTGAAGTAGATACTCTCCCTTCATACACCTGTAGTGCTGAAGTAGATACTCTCCCTATATACACCCGTTGTGTCAAAGTAGATTCTCTCCCTACATACACCTGTAGTGCTGAAGTAGATACTCTCCCTACATACACCTGTAGTGCTGAAGTGGATACCCTCCCTACATACACCTGTAGTGCTGAAGTGGATACCCTCCCTTCATACGCCTGTAGTTCTGAAGTGGATACTCTCCCTATATACACCCGTTGTGTCAAAATAGATACTCTCCCTACATACACCTGTAGTGCTGAAGTAGATACTCTCCCTACATACACCTGTAGTGCTGAAGTGGAATACCCTCCCTACATACACCTGTAGTGCTGAAGTAGATACTCTCCCTACATACACCTGTAGTGCTGAAGTAGATACTCTCCCTATATACACCCGTTGTGTCAAAGTAGATTCTCTCCCTACATACACCTGTAGTGCTGAAGTAGATACTCTCCCTACATACACCTGTAGTGCTGAAGTGGATACCCTCCCTACATACACCTGTAGTGCTGAAGTAGATACTCTCCCTACATACACCTGTAGTGCTTAAGTGGATACCCTCCCAAAATACGCCTGTAGTGCTGAAGTGGATACCCTTCCTACATACACCTGTAGTGCTGAAGTAGATACTCTCCCTACATACACCTGTAGTGCTGAAGTGGATACCCTCCCTACATACACCTGTAGTGCTGAAGTAGATACTCTCCCTACATAAACCATACACCCAGAGCCGAATTTTAGGTATTTGTAATTCATTGAAAATCCTTTCAATTGGAACTTTGTTAGGGTTTGTATGTGTACATGGGTGCATGTGTTTAGTATAGTTATAAGATAAAACATCCGGCCCTTGCTGCCAGTGGCCATTTCAGGCTATTTTCCCAGGGGTTGGTGACAGCAATAGTATAATGTTGCAGCTAAAACTTAAAAGTTAATTGTCTTGTGTGGAGTCTTAGAGGTCTTGACCTGATCAACCCCGATAATCATCCCACAAGAATTTCAGATATATAGTTGGATGAATGAGTGTGAGAAAGAAAGCAGAGAGTTTTAAGATATGAAAGAAGTAAGACATGTTTCTAAGAGAGTGTAAGAAGATTGTGTTAAGGGAATAGAGGACATACGGTTTTTCAACCTGTCAAAGCCACTGTTCGAGCCACTGTCCGAGCCACGGTACAAGTTACTATCCTGCATTTATCCTGCAACTGTGCTGTTTCTTTTTCTTGGAATGTGTGATATATTATTCAATCATTGTGTGGATATTCACTGAATTTATGGAATTATGTTATACGGAATTTGTGAAGTTTGAAGTTAAAGACAATATTAAAGTGCTGGATCGAGTTGAAACTTTGATATCCTCTATCTCCATTAATTAGATAATTTAAGAGTTCACATTAAAAGTTGAAAAACTCGTGAAAATCCGGATGTGAATTTAAGACTTGGACATAAAGAAGACTGTGTTTCCATTCGTGAATTGGCAACAGTATCCTGCAAAGTTCAAAACGGATCAGCACATATTGGATTAAGGACTCGAAGTTGAAGTAAGGTATTTTATTTTCTCAAGAAGTTGACATTGTTAAGTAAATGTGACTTTTATGATTTTATCAAGGCGTGATAAAAGAACTTACGGTAAATAAGACTACCTGTTGAGTATGGAATTGTGTCTTTATGCAGAAACAGGCAAATACAGGAGGGATTATATTTCACTGGAATCGTGTATACACTGAATAGGATTTATCACGTAGGATTACGGAATTCAAGGACTGTAAGTTCGACAAATATTTCAAGATTATTGGAACTGGTGTTGAATTGATTTGAAATCATGGCAAGTAGAACATTGAGTGGTACTCTTACAAGTGGTAAAGAACTGATTCATGAACCTGCAAGAAATGCTTAATCATTAATAACCGACTCAAGATTAAGACAACAGACTGAAAAGGGTCATAAGTATGTTTTGAGCATGGCACTGGATAAAATGAAATTTTTATACAAGCAGGTTTCTTCAAAGGTAAAGGACATTAAGTATTTGATGAGCCCTGATGCAGATTTGGATACCGTCTGAATTTGAAGTTTGGAAGGAATTATGTGACAAGTTTCAAGAGTCGGCTAAAGCTTATCATGAAAAACTTCATAGTCAATCAGCTAAAGACGAAGAAGCAGCTTGGTTTCAATCAAAGTTAGGCACCTTTTCGCAGTTTGAAAGAAATGTTACCTCGTTCATTAAACATTACGGTATGGGAGATAACATTAGACCAGGAGATAGTGTTTCCCAAGTTGGATTAAGTAAGGTTTCAGTAATCTCCCCTGCCTCCTCTGCCAAAATGGAGATCCTGGCGAAAAGGGCCGAACTTATTGCCAGACAGAAATGTTTAGAACGAAGACATCAATTAGAAGAAGAAGAAAACAAAGACGAGAAAGATTAGAACTTGAGACAGAAGTAGAAATTGCCGATGCCTAGTTTGACATTTTTGACCAGTATGACCGAGAATCTCACAGTTCTCGAAAACTAGAAAGTTCACAAAGGTCCTTCAAGCCAGCAAAGACCCGAAATAAAGATTTGAATCCAGAAGCTGAAGAATTCACGCCTAGACAGAATATAAACCTGCAGGTTGGAGTCCACAATTCAAAATTTGATGAAGTTTGTAAGCAACAGAATGAGATAATCCGGCTAGTGGTTGAACACCAGAAACTTGCCAAGCTACCCACAAGGAAGATTCCTGTGTTCAGTGGCGACCCACTACAGTTTAAGCCTTTCATACGAGCATTCGAGCATGGTATAGAAGACAAAACCATCAATCCCAAAGATAGGCTCTATTACTTGGACCAGTACACCAACGGTGAACCGAATGACTTAGTAAGAAGTTGTATTTTCATGAATCCTGAAAGTGGTTCTGAACAAGCCAGGTCACTGTTGGATAAGAAATTTGGGAACAAATACAAGCTAGCAACAGCTTATATGGACAAAGCATTGACATGGCCGGCTATTAAGTCAGAGGACAGTGAAGCACTGAACAGCTTTTCCATATTCCTGACAAGCTGTGGAAATACCATGACAGATAAAGACTATCTAAGAGAATTAGAGCATCCAAAGAACCTCGGGGAGTTGATCCAAAAGTTGCCATATAAGTAAAGAGAAAGATGGAGAACAGTTTCGTTTAATATCTTGGAAAGGAGAAATTTCAGCCTTGCGGACCTTGTTGGTTTCGCAGATAAACAAGCACAGATATTGTCAAGTCCTTTGTTTGGCAATATCGTCGACGACATCCAAGCTCAAGCAAAACTAAAGATGAAAGAAGCGCCAAAGAGATATAAGAGCTTTGCTACCGACACATCACAGTCTGAATTAGGTAAAGAAACTTCCACTAGGGCAACCTACCAGTTCAACCAAAATTGATGAAATCTGGTAAGCCATCTGCAACTAGAGAAAGAACAGTCAACATGCTGGTTCTGCAATGAGGACCACACCATGGAAATGTGCAGGGGAATGCAGCGTAAGACTATGGATGAGAAGATTGACTTCT